CTAGGTGAAACCTCAGGTGATGTGGGTGCGTGCGCGAATTTCCCGCACATATTAAATATTCAACATTGTACATGTGCCAGGGGCGGCGACTTTCAAGTCCTGACATAATTCCAAATAAGACCAGTGAGGCGAATTTATCTTATCATTTTCGTTTGATTGTTGTGATAAGTGGTCGGAGAGTCAACGGTTATGATTCAACCGAGTGGATATTGTGGGAACGCTACTTGCTATTAGCATTAACTATTGTCAATGTTTAATCGGTTATCAGTCAATGAGGTTTATGAGTGTTGTTTTATTTAAATGATAAATCATCGTTGTTTATGGTGAGTGGTTTTAATCGCAGCCTCGAGCTGTCACTGCACAGACAATTTTAAATGTTTTATATTTAGATTATGCTACAATAAATTTAAGCTTTTGCAAATGAAACTTGTTAAATATTTATGGGCCTGGGTGCTATGCGGTAAAACTTGGTTATTGCACTTTTTATAGTTCAGCTTTCCTTTAAACATGTTGCATTATTGCAAAAAATGTGGATTATTATGAGCGTTGTGTTCATAATTTCCATTTTTTTAGCGGGAGATGATACGGTAATAAAGATACTGAAATATAAATTATTGATTTAATATTTTAACGTTTTTACTAGTTTAAGAATGTAAATTAAAGTAGAAAACTGCGTTCGTTTACCGTTCAAAGTTAAACATTCTATAACCAATTTTAAAAACAGCTTAGTCACTTATTTGTGGAGTGTGTTAGGTATGTTGGTTCCATGTATTTGTTTATGGTATAAAGCAAGGACTATTTTTGTTATCGATGACTATCATTCGAGTAAATATGATTGGTCTTCCTTTACCATTAGTATTGCTTTTAATTAACATACAACCACTTACATATATTATATCTTGTACTGATTGTTTGTTTTTGCTTCGCAGATTTTCAATGATTGTTTCCAACGAAAATAATAATTTCGTTAAATCATGGCAACTAGCTTGGCGGATGCGTTGCGTGACCAGGATCTTCACCAACTCAATGTCACCGGTACGTATGCGCCATTGTCATTTGTTTATCGTACGATTTCGATTTCGCTATAAAAATGCTACATTTTCTACCATTTTGATTAACATATGTACTTTCATGTTGTCACAATTAATCAGACATATGCATGCATGAAAATTAATTAAACAAATTACGTAAAGCACGAAACATGCGAAAACACCACTACTGACTCTTGTATGGGCCTAGTCAATTAGAGAAAATTAATTGTATGCTTCAGTTATTCGAATAGGTCGCGGACGGCCAGCCATTATTGTTTGTATTGTCGAGAGGGAACGTTTACTTTTTACTTTCGATGCTCGTATTCTTGTGCGCGCCTGCATCGCATAATTGCAATTAACTTTCACAATTAGTCTACTGGAACTCGGCGTTGTTATCGCCACCAAGGCGAAAAACAATGCTAATGGTATTTTGGGTTTTGTGTTTTTCTCACTCTATTTATATAAAATATTCACCAGCATGGAAATGAAAGATGGTTTCTGATATCATCGATCAGGCTATTTTTTGGTGGGATTTATTTGTGTGCGGCGCATTGTGAGGACAGAAAACGTTTTAATATTCGTCAGAATTATCGAATAGTATTCATAAACCTGCTCGCTGTCAGTATATTGGATTATAAATAGTTTTAGGTGAAAATGTCCACAGTAATTTGTTTGGTTTCGATATTGCCTTTAGTAAATATATTACTTGTTTGTAATTGAGGTTTATTAAGTGCGTGTTTGTTTGAATTTTGGTAACGAGAACGTAGGAGGTCAATAATGTTTTTTTTAAAGGTTCGTCATACTCAACAACGAAGCTCAAGTTGTACCTGCTTTGCGTTCAGTTTCAAGGTAGAGCGCGCATGAAAAAAAAGTGTCGGTGAACAATCGCAGTTTACACAATTCTGCAAAACAAACGAAAGCAGCAATGTAGAACGAGCACGTCTGTCGATAAAACACTTTTTCTTTCTGTATGTTTAGGAGAGGTTTCTTTTCTACCTTTGCAATTTGCATGCAACCCAAAGATTACAACATTGTTTAGCAGTATTTTCATCTTGTTTATGAAGGTTGGATAAAAATGGAAAGTTTTTGTTTAAATGGAAATTTGTCATATGAATATTAACATTGGCTATATGTATGTTTGTTTGTA